GCCAAAAAACACATGAAAAAATGCTCACCATCTCTAGCCATAAAGGAAATGCTAATCAAAACCACACTAAGATTCCACCTCACCCCTGTTAGAATAGCTATCATCAAAAACACCACCAACAATAGGTGTTGGTGAGGATATGGGGAAAAAGGAACCCTCATACACTGCTGGTGGGAATGCAAGCTAGTGCAACCACTCTGGAAAACAATATGGAGGCTTCTTAAAAATCTAAACATAGATCTGCCATATGATCCAGCAATACCACTCTTAGGGATATACACAAAGGAAAATGACTCAGGTGACTCCAGAGGCACCTGCACACCCATGTTCATTGCAGCTCTATTCACAATAGCCAAGTTAGGGAAACAGCCAAGATGCCCCACTACTGCCGAATGGATTAAGAAAATGTGGTATTTATACACAATGAAATTTTACTCAGCCATGAAAAAGAATGAAATCTTATCATTTGCAAGTAAATGGATGGAACTCGAGAACATCATCCTGAACGAAGTTAGACAGGCTCAAAATAACAAAAATTGTATGTTCTCCCTCGTTTGAGGACTTTAGATCTAGGGCAAAGGCAATAATGTTGTTAGATTTGGGTCACATGCTAAGAGGAGAGCACATAAGGGAGGAATGGGGATAAATAGGAAACTCAAAACTTGAAAGTGTTTGATGTCTGCACCGCAGAGGAGCTAATACAGTAACCTTTAAATGACAGAGGTAAATATGGGAAGATGACCAGGAAGTAGTGAAGAGGTCAGGTAAAGGTGAATCAATTCAGGCTGTAATACACTTGTGCATGGAAGCAATGCTAGGAATCTCTCTGAATAGGTATCCTTATCTCCACTGGCAAAAACGCTTTGTCTTTCTTATTATTGCTTATGTCTTCTCTTCAACACAATTGGAGAAAAGGGCAGAACAGGTTCTGTCTGGAAACGAGGGGGGTGGGGACAGAGAGGGAGAGAGTACTGGGCAGGGGGGAGAAATGACCCCCCATATGTATGCACATATGAATATATGAAGAAAGAAAAAAAACTAAAGATAAAAAAAAAGATTTTTTTGAAATGAGATGGAAAAGCTGTGCATTCTAAAATCCAGGCAAAGTGTGAGAATGATTTTGTACTCTGAATATAAATAATAAGGGTTAGTATTTACTATTCTTATGAAGTATTACCCTCTTGAAAAGGTAGGTTTTATATTTGCTAAAAAAAAAAAAAAGCAAAGTGCAATATAATTTATATGCTAAAATGGGTTGCTTTTCAGATGCTATTAGTAATGACATCAGAACGCCAGGCACACACAGAGACTTTCCAGTCCATGTCCCCCTACAAAAACTTCAGGGGTGAATTCTATGTTTTGTCAAATAATTGTGAGAAGTCCCAATTAAGAACATCACAATAATCAATTACATTTTACAGCTAGAACAACTTGAAAGATTCCAGTGACCACTTATTATAGAGAGGCAACAAGACCAAAGTGCAAGGAGGTTAATCAACCTTTCCCACTCACATGACAAGGTAGTTTCTTGGGTTAAAAGTGGAAACTAGGTCTCTAATGCACTATTTTCTATTATACTTCATTAAAAAAATTACTATAGTACCGAATTTTCTACAGTATGTATATAACTTGTAAAATAGTCTTAAAGGATGGAATAGAAAAGATGAGCTGCAAAGAATATTCCACAAAAAAATGTCAATCTTAATCGTGAAAGAAAGGACACAGCTCCACTTTCCTTTTTATACACATTGGCAAAAAACGAGGAAGTGAATATTTCCTTTTTAGTCACTTATGTAAAGATATATACACACCCTAGGACCCTGCCAGATTATTAAGAAGAGGAGGAATCACTTAGCAGGTAAAAACCTTCCATGACATTCCTTCATGCTATTTAAAGCTCTTAGCATTCCAAAGGACTTTATACCATCAATTATTTTTGCAAGTCTTTGGTTTCTGAGAATAGTTTCTCCTCTTATGTAATCCATATGAAAATATAAATTTCACAATATTCATATTGAAAAGAAGCCATTTAATCAGCAGGGTTGGTAAATATTCCCATTATTTTATCACTACAACTCATGTCTTTCTAAAGTAAATTTCAGTATGAAAATTGATCATCACTCACAGAAGAAAAATATCTTTTTCTTTTTTTCCTTTTAAAGCATATTTATTTTAAATAGGAACGTGAATGGGATCTTCTGGAGGGTATTTTGGTGAATGTTCCTATATTTTCTGTCTCTGAAAACTGAAATCCATTTCTTACCTACCCCTTGCCCTGCAGGATGGCTGAACAAACTTCATCTCATCCATTTGAAATGATCCAATTTAATTCTGCTTGACCAAAAATCTGTTTTCATAGTTCTAAAACATGCAATCACCCCAAGGTGCATTGCCATTGTAGCTTAAGTGGCTCAGTGTTATCACTGAGGAAAATATACTTTGATTGCAAAAACAGCCCAATATGGCTTTTGGAAAATGAAATGACCCTTTCTGATACACAATTTAGTAAGACAGTTGATAAAAGCAGGCAGATATGGTCACCATGGACAGGGTTTACAGGAGAGATGCTTCATCTAATAGGTAAAAAGTAGGTAAAAGTTTATAGACACGGAGTTAGTATTACAAACCACTCTCATATTTAAACTTCCTAGATGTTGAGCCATTTAACAAATAAACACTTTAAATATGACATATGTCCATAATCTGTATATTTAGAGGCAAGTTAAAACCAATTGTGAGGCAAGAAACATTTGTAACAAATTATTCTATTACTCGAAAACAGATAATTTTTGTCTCAAATTGTGTTCCTCTCCTACATATGTGAATTGTTCTGTCATCTGTAACTGTACACATATAATTACAAGAGAGAATTTAAAAAACTGTTTGCTCAATTTTTAAATACTGTTGCCAGGGATGGGTATGGTAGCACATGCCGAAAATTGAAGATGTGTGGGAGATGGAGTAGGAGGATCATGGTCTGAGGCTGGCCCCTGGCAAAAAGCAAGACCCGCTCTGAAAAATAACTAAAGCAAAAACGATGTGTGTGGCTCAAGTGATAGAGCATTTGCCTAGCAAACCAACACACAACAAAAACCCTATTGCTGCCACAAAGCAGTATTTGCATCATATAATCCAAATTATTTGTTGCTATTCATCTATGAAAATGTAAATATTTAAAGTATTTATAAAAGAACCTAGTAATCTTTTATTTAAGTCAATATCTCCTCAAGTGAACTAAATAATTGCTGATTGATTAGATCATTTACTTCTATGAACCACTGGTATCTGTAATAGCTTATAATAAAAGATACCCTCTTTACTGGCAATTAACAAGCATGCAGTTAACTGTTTTCCTTTTGGATTAATTAATATTATAAAATGCATAAATTTTTATTTTTGAATTTCTAGGTATTTTCCTTTTCAATGAAATAGCTATGTTGTACACTTAAAAATATTTCTTAGTATATAGCAGATTCTAACTGATAAAATATATGAAAACAAAGCCAATAATTCATTCCTTATTTTGGGATACATCTGGTTTCCATAGGAGCTTTGGCAATTGCAATTTCATTAGCCACAAAATAAGACTACTAAGAAACATACCTATCTCAAATTATATTCACAAAAACATTTCTAATTCCAAATGTATGCTCACTTGCAAATTATTTTATATAAAGGAAGTAGTCTATTAATTCCTTTGTGTTTCATTTTTCCTGCATCAAATTTACTTTAATAAATGCTTATCATTAACTGAACCATATATCAACAACAACACCAATAACAAATCATTAATGGAGTATCAAGACAGAATATCAAGCAGAGCTATTGGGCAAGCATACATCTGTCTAAAGTCACAAGTCTTAATTAGTAGAGAGAATACTAATACAAATAGAATCTGCTTTCTATTATCTTCTTTCCAAACCTGATAGTTGGTTTCAGTAAAAGCAATTTTTAAAATGGTTGTTATTGTCTTGCTCCTTTACAATGCAGTTTTCTAGAACAGTAAGGATCTTGTATTTGGAAAAGCTTTATGTGGTATATACTGAAGCCATTCACTAACTCTTGAAAACAAAATGAAACAGGTTTGGACCAAGGAAAATACACAATTCTAAAAGCATTAACAGCTGAATATGTTCAAAGGATATAAATATCAACAATGATCTAACAGACTTTAATATCAGTTCAACATCCTCTAACAACATTTCATAAAAGTCTTTTTTGTACATTTTCCTCTGATGTAAATGCCAGTAACAAAATTAGTACCTAATACACAGTATAATCAATAAGAGTATATTGATTAAATTAATATACTTGAAAATGTACAATGCCACATTTTAAACTATTTTTCAAAAATTTTAGACACAAGATTTAATAATAAGCTTATTAAAGTGATTTCTAAGTGAGATCAATTAGTCACATATCACACAAAATGTCTTAGCTCAAGAAAGTTTTCAAGTAGCACACTTTACATGTTTGCTCTCAGTTAAAGTAATGGAGTGTTTTCTCATAAGCAGTAGAAAAAAGGACATATCTTTCACCAAGGCAGCCACTTGCCCACCAATTTGAATTTTAAGATTTCAAAACATAGTAGAAATATTATAGGTAATATCTCTTTAAGATCAGATTTGTTCTTTTAAAAATTTTGATGAAGTACAAGCTTAAAACAAGGCCTTTCAAATATTTCATTAATATACTTGTTCATTATAATTAAAGGATAAAAACTGTGCAGTTAGCAGACAATCCCCCTCAGTCTGGGCTAGACGAAGTTTTCTGAATCAAGCTAGCAGCTAACAAACCAACACAAAGCCTTTTATAGTCCACCAACCTCTAAACAACAACATATGCACATTTCATAGTCAAACTGAATGCATTATGTTAACTAAGTCTTACAGCATAGTGCCTGATAGCAGAAAAAAAAATCCTATTTAGAAAAGACATGCAGAAAATCCCACTTTCATAATCATAGGTCCAAAATGAAAGAATAAAATGCATGTGCTCACCTGGCTAATGGGTTCTTTCGTGGGAGGTTTTCCTCTTCTAGCTGTGCTAGTAGCCAGGGTGGTGGTGGTCTCCATGATTGAGGTGGACATCTCTGACTGCATGGCAGTGGCTGTCGACTCAGTTGTCATAGAGGAAGGCACTTCACCAACCAGTCTCACATTTCCCACTATGGCGATGTTGGCATCATTTTCGGCTGCCATATTCAGAACTTTCAAGCCATTGTAGTAAAGCCCAGAGAGCTGGCCCTGGAAGGGCTGGCCCTGCTCTTTCCCGCCAATTATTATGGTTGCTTGACTATTGAAGATTGTGAGCTGACGCCCTGTAAAAATAATATTACATACATGCAAAAATGTTGATTGTGAACTCTACATTCTACAAAGGATGATAAAACAGATCTTTCATGGGGTGGATAATGAGAGCAATAAACTATAAGAGAGGCATTTGACTCATAATTCATTGCTTATAAATGAGGTGTCCATGAAATGCATATTTATTGGCAAATACTTGTAAATTCTCAACTTATCGTAAATGTAGTGCTTTTGCTAAAAGACCAATCAAAGTTATGTATTACAAATCAATTTTTAGTGGATCCCTTTTCCCTTTGCCCTCAAGATCTTAGATTGTTGGCCTCTTAAGTCTAAATTGTGAAATTTGAAATGTGTGACATATCTAACATTTCAAGTATTTGTCATTCTAAAGTCACCTCTGACAGAAACTGATCTATAGAAGCTGAAGTCTAATTTTAAATTTTATGGCAAAAAATTTCATAATTCACATAATGCCCACATGTATCTACATGCTATTCCTTAGAAATGTTAGTTTTTGAAGGCAATAGTCCATTGTTATTTGAATTATGCTATTTTTTCCGGCAATCACACTGAAAAGAAATGCATGATTTACACTGAGCATGTCAGAGACAAAAAATTCCAAAAATATGTTTCTGATTGGTTTTCAGCAAGTCTATCAAAACAAAACAAAATGAAAAAACAAATAGCTTCAGATGTAAAAAGCGGCTTCAGGAATGATACACAAATCAATGGAGAAATCATGGCACATTTCCATCAAACTGCAATCCTTAGCAACAGTACCATTTATCATCAAATTGAGTATCCAGTTTTAGCAGATTACTCTCTGCTCATAAAAAGCATGCACACAACTTTCAGTTCAGTTTTAATTAGGGCTTGTTCCCAAATGTTCTTAGAAGGTTGCAAACGTTAAAGGGACTTCATTTTGACTGGCAATCCATATTGCCCACTATTTAAGATTCCTAGAGTTTAAACAAAGAGTCTTTTTTTTTTTCAGGACCATAATAAAGATCTCAGAACTACATATATTTTAGTTAATAATTTAGAGGCTGGAATATGGAATATAATCTATGAATGATTTATCATTTTGGGTTAATGCTTGCTATGAGTCCCTTCATAGATTGAGTTAGTGGATTATATTTAACAGTCCCTTTAACCTTAAGTTAACTGGGTAAGATTATTAAACCGCTGGTACGGCTAAAAATGTATAGAAATTATTATACAAGGTATGCAAATATTACTATCTACATTTTACTGTTTTAAATTTGTTTTTAATTTAGTTTTACGGAAAATTTATTTTTTATGTTTATTAGTGTTACAATGAAGTACTACTTGGTTATGTTCAAATTATTTTTTTATTTGAAGTTTTAATCAATGTTTTTTACCTTTGTCGAGTAGCCATTCATCAACTACTCGACCAAGTCGATATGGAATTCGCTGTCTAGCAATCGCCAGGCGCTCGTTATCATTGTTTCCTTTAAAGTTTAAAGAGACATTTCATTGGTTAAAATCTGTAAGGTCAAAGGTTAAAAGTTAATACTTAAAGCTTGAGCTATACAGTTGCCACATGATTTTTTGAAATTTGGAATTTTAAAAAGTTCTACCTAGAACATTTCATGTTTCAGACTTGTCATTCATTCATTTATTTTATTTTAGCAAACAAAATTATTCCTATGTTAATTGAAAATTAGAAATCTGCATTTGATCTAGGTTATTAAACTTATGTTATAGACAGACCCCAACAACCAATTTAAACAGCAGATAATAGCTTTACAAAAAATGACCATTGACCTTAGGGTTTTGTCTTTTGGATGTTTCTTATTAACTAGTTAAACATGTTCAGCTGCAACAGGTTTAAGTTTTCAAAATACATTCAAACTCTTATTCCAGATTAGTAATTTATGAACACCAAACTTAACACCATCTCTGGCACACTGAAGCATCTAAAATAGGCCTGGAATACTTTACTTCCTATTCAGAAAACAGATTTCCTTATTCATTTCATTTAAGAAAACCACAAAATCCAAATAGTTCTTGTGTATTCCATACAAATTGGTTTATCAATCACTTGGACATCACAAGAGATTACATCTTGCATCATCCAAATATGTGTTAGGAAAAGGCTTTGACAAAAGTGACTTTATTTGAGTGTCCTTCATTTTCACTTAGAACTTAACATGTTGAGGAATATACCATTTGAAAAAAATTCTACATTTTTACATACTCAAATATTTGCTTTTTATTTATTCTTTAAAAAAGGCCTGATAGCTTATGGTACAAATACAAGCCAGAAACAATGGCTCTTATTCATAGATCTAAACTAAATGATATCCTGCTTCTTTGAATAAAAAACTGTCTGCTAGAAACACTGTTTACACTGACCTTGAATAATGCTTGCAAATAGATGAGAGTTTTCCTGATCTATAAAGCACTTATAAAAAATCTGGGCTGCCACCTCAGTGCTCAATTGTGTATATTGCAAGTTTTTCCATTCCATGAAAATTTGCTATTTGAATTTTGAGCCAAGACATTTTGGCAATAGCTCGGATGAGGAGTATGAAGTGAAAGAAACCTTAAATACTACCTATATAAAAAGACTGGAGCATTTTGCTAAGGAAGAAAGAAGATATACTTTTCCCCCCTTAGATTTATTTTCCCTTTTTTATGCTGATCTTACAATACACTTTACTTATCACAATAAATATATCCTAATATTGGCCATACACTTTGGAGAAATGAAAAGGAATACCTTTTAGACTTTATCAATTTGTCATTCAAATATCTATATGAATGAATATATTTCACACATTAATATTTAATTTAAATGTAAATATCAAAGTTGAATGACATATAAACTTAATGAAAACATTAGTATATACTTCTTTGTACTATGTAATCATTTAAATGTGAAACAGTATTTTATACGGTGTGAATATATTTTTGATAAACATAATTTTTTAAAAGAATACAAATTGTAAAAAATTCCAACTTGATCATCGTTTTAAAATGTGTGCACAATTTGTGTTCTCTTGTATGCTTTTGTATGTGTATGTCTTTAAAATATGCTAAAGTCTGATATTGGTCTCCCTAGGGCAGTGTGGTTATTGCTGAATTAAAAGTTTTTGTCTTATATGTGATTTATAAAATAATCATGTTTTTATATGTAATTTGATAAGCAAACATAAAATGTATTTCAAAAATCCTATCCTTTGCTCCTCTGACATTTTTTGTCATCTGATATTCATAGCAATTCACACTGATAGAATTTTCCTGACATGGTTCCTTGTACTGTTTTTCATGCTAGAGTGTTCCCATCATCAGGAATAACCAAAATTCCCTCAGAAACCATTCAAAACCAGGTCACAAGTCCCTCTTGTCCAGTTATTTCTAGCCTGCACACATCTCTCCGTAATAAATTCCACTCCTTTTGTACACCTCAGCCAATACCTAATCACACCACTAAGATAATCTTTCCAATTACTTTTAGGATAAAATCTCATACCTGTAATGAGATGTCTGAGGAAATACATGGTCTGGTCCCTTCCAAACTCCACTACCTGATCTCATGGCCATTCTGATTTGCTATCCTCTTTTTAGTCCCATGAGACTTCCTTCAATTTTTCTAAGCCTCTGCTTTCTTCTCTCTGGACTCTTTGACTTGTAGCTTCTTTTCTTTTACTCCTACCTCATCCCCATCTTTCCAACAACCACTCATTGGAATCTTCTTGGTAGAAACATTGCTTGCTCAGGAGTTGTTCCTTGATGTCTTCAAGTTAGGCTAGGACACCTGATTATAAACTTTCATAACTCCTGAAACATTCCTTTTAGAAACAAGCATTCACCTTGCAATTATATATTTGATAAATAGCTCTCATTTAAACTCTGAGCTCTATGAGAACAAGTACTATGTGTAGTGTTAATGGTATCTCCAGTGTTTGCACAAACTCCTTGGAAATGTCTATAGAATGAAGTAGTGAAGGAAACCTTGTTTCAGTTCTGATAGCTTCTGTAGCACCATTGACACATCTGCATAGCCTAAAGACATTCAAGAGAAAGAGAAAGCAAATACTTGTGTCCAGACAAGGGACCACACATGGATAAGTTTCCCTTTGTACTTTCCAAAGGAAACACCAAACACTTGAATTAAAAGCTTGTTTCGTTAATGGATTAACACTGATGTAAACATCCATACAATCAATCAGTTTTTTATTAATTTAATACCTTCCCCATGCCACAAAATAAATATTCATAGTTATTATTAATAGGGGAAGGTTTGTGGAAGAAGTCCTAAATAAGACAGGACTTAGAGAAAAATGAAAAAGGACACATAAAATATGTGAATATATACAATTTTCCTTCACACCTTTAACTGACATTACCAAAAGATTTAATATTATTGATATGACATGATTTAGGTGAATAGTAGCTTTGGAAGATTCTTGAGGCTACTCAGGCAAAACACTGCATTCCCAATGAGTAAGAGAGGTTGCCCAACAACTGTAACAGTGAAAAAGATTTAGAAAATGGAGTAGATAGTAAATAAAGGTGTAAAAATATGTGATAATGTATAAGAAAGGAAGCCAAACAATAGGGGTCATATAACCCTTAAATATCAGATAATTGCTAGTTCAGAGAGCATTCTTTTTAATGGAAAGGTGATTCTGAAATCAACAAACAGATATTCTTTGTAGGAGCAATGAGTGGGAGGTTAGACATAGTTTACTACTGTACCTTACTCTTCAATTTCTTTGTTGTATTAGAATAAAAAACTAACGGCTTTTCTATGGTAAAATTATATACAAATTTGCTACTAGCCAAATGAAGACCCACTAAATAGAATAGAGTGACAATATCATTTTTTGGTTTTGTTTCTTTTTGACATAAATTCTAGTTATGTGGTCCTGGCTTGGACTCCTGCTCTCAAGTGATCCTCCTGCCTCAGCCTCCTGAGTAGTGGGGACTACAACAGGCACTTGCCATGGTGCCCCGCTGACAATGTTGTTTTAATCTATGATTCCCAAACCCCTTCTACCATTGAGTATAAAATACTTAGAATTGCTTAGGTTTACCAGGACTAGGCCTATATTATGCCTTCCTCTCCTGATTTTCATTAGAAAGCTATATATGAGAAGTAGTAATTTAACCATATTATTTTAAGTAATTTCTCAAAATGTATTCCATTTTCTTAAAAAATTATGGTAATAATTTGAGGGAGCTACTTACACAAACTTTTAATAATTTTTAACAATCACAAAATATATACTAGGTATTGTGTTAAATATATGTTATTATCTATTAAAACAAATTATTCATTAAATATGTTACAAAGAAAAAACTAGAAAACAAGAAATAAGGTGATTTGTTTTAAAAATATGGTAATATTTACTATAAAATATCCAGAATTTTGCATGATATTGTTAATTATATTTAATCTCATCCATAGTTCAATATACATTTAGAAGTTGCATGCCATATAAAGGTGGTAAAACTACCAATTTGATTAGCAAAGGTCAAAGACATATAATTTCCAATGATCCTTTATTTATTTACTCTGATAAATTTGGGATCTAATACAAAACATGACAGATTATAGGAATATTATGTCGAGCTTCTGTGGATGGTCAAAGAAGCAGGCTTAAATGGAAAGGTGAGATTAAGAACAAAGAGGATATACCTGAAAATTCAAATAAAGCTAAAAGTGAATCTTTGGGAGGAGGACTTTCATCTCCAATTTTTCCAAATCAGAGGAAAGCATAAATCATTAATGATCCACTTTTAAGTTATCCATTCACTTTGGATTATTAAAAGGGTCCAAGATGAATTTCAACTTACTAAAAGAAAGGTAAAAAGTTCAACTATGGCAATCACTTGGGCACATAGTTGATGAAAATAGAGCTTCTCATTTAATAGTCAAAACATAACAATTTATTTTCATATTTACTCTCCTTAATAAAAGCTAGAAGGGAACTTTCTTCCATTGCTTTTCTCTAGTGAGTTTTGTGTGGGTTCACTCTATTTGTACCTTCAAAGAAAATGTCACCCACAACATACTTGTCTCTATTGAAGTAATTTTCAAGCAATGACATTGCATATTAAGTTTGCTTTTATTTTCTTTGGAATTGCTTAAGGATTCTTTTTATTTATTTTATTGTTTTTGGTGGTACTGGGGTTTGAACTTAGGGCTTCATGCTTGCTAGGCAGGTGCTCAACCACTTAAACAATGTCCTATAGGATTAACTAGTCTTGCCAAGAAGAAAATGACTCTCTTCCTGCTACCCGTAGTAAACGCACAAGAGCTAATTGACAGGAATAAGCCCCAATTGGAGTGGCCACTTAGGAAAGGGGTATTGATGTAATGAATATTCAAATATTCCAGGAGTTAAGAATGAAAAGTAAAATTTGAACATGGAGTGTAATATCTTCTATTTTGATTAAATCTAGACAGTTTCATCTTCCCATCTGTACAGACCAAGTA